TCCATGGTTGTCGTCATCGACGACCGGGCTGACGTATGGAAGTGGAGCCCTAACCTGATCAAAGTCATACCTTGTACGTGTGGTTCCGTTATCCTAACCAAGAGTGTGACTGACATTCTGGTAGACGATTTCTTTGTTGGAATCGGGGACATTAATTCCACATTTCTTCCAAAAGTGGACCCTTTGGGCTCTGCGTGCTATGACCAGAATTCTCAGGGAAAGTTACCTTTCGTGTTTCACGTAGCCTGTCATTGAAACGTATTCAACAGGCAGAAGTGCCTCTACTCCGGCTCTCGGTGAATCGGTCGTGCCAACTGCTTCTCCATCGCCTCTTTCCCAGCCTGAAGAGATGGAACAAGCAGAGCGCGAATCCAAGGCCATGCTAACGCGAAACTCTCTTGCTCTGGAAGCACAAGTGGAGGAACGACCATTGGCAAAAAAACAGGAGGAGTTACAGACTGCTTCGAATCAAGCCGGAGAAACGAGCGGCCAGAATACTCCTTCGGAATCACCAAGCTCCGTCCCATCACATGAGCATTCAAAGGATGTATCACCACGGAAAGCACTGCTGAAGAATGATGATATTGAACTAAAACGTGTCGGCGATGTAAGCCAAGCTGTTGCCAATCACAGATTCTCTTCGTAACTTTTTCCCTCAGCTGCTGGAAAGTGTTCACCGGTGGTTCTACACTGCATATGATAGCTATTCTGCAGAGGAACACAAGCATAAGCGCACATCGCCACCTACTGGGACTTCGTCCGCCAAGCCGTATGATGTCACGGTGAGTGGTCCGGCACCAGATACGTCACGATATAAAAACGGCAAATCGTTGTAGCAAATCATTCCTCGGATGCGCGAGCGAACCTTGGAAGGCGTACACATTCTATTCTCCAGTGTGATACCACTGGACACGCAACCAGACACTTCGGAGGTATGGAAAGTTGCGTGCATGTTTGGCGCCAAATGTTACCAAGAACTTTCCGCTCGCGTGACGCATGTCGTCGCCGCCAAGGTTAGATTTAGAGTCGTCACACCGTTCAGCTCATTATTTGACACATTCTAGCATGGCACCGCCAAGGTTGATGCAGCGAGAAAAAGAGGAGGTGTCAAGATTGTATGGTTATCCTGGTTTACCGATTCGGTGGCACTTTGGCAGCGACAGGATGAAACGCCATATCTTCTTGACGCTCCTACTCCCTCAGCTGCAAGTCTAAGTCCTAATCTCGACCCTCATCAGATATCGTCTGATCCGGAGCCAGACGCCGATGACTGGGATGTCGAACCGGTTGCCAAAAACCCAACGCTCGAGCTTGACAGTATCGACTGGAATGATGTCAACGCGGAGGTGGAAGCAGCTATGAATGAAAGCGATGACGAGAGTGGTGTAACGACAGATGACGAGATGGTGACTGACGATTCTCGTAGTCAAATCAGGTTTGTTCTGGCCTTCGTGCTTGGGTACATTTCTTTGCTCAACGTATGGCACACAATGCAGTACGACTTCTTCACCGCGGCTCAAGCGGAAACGCCTCCGAAGCGTCACACCGTCAGATAGTGGCAACGGACCGAATGACCAACAAGACCTCCTAAGGTCTCCACTTTCCAAGCGCAAGAAACTCGCAGCGAATCGGACCGGAACATCCAAGCTAAAGGAAGCGTTCACTGCTGAACAGATTGCCGAGGCTGGGCGACAGAGGAGCCGTAGCAATAGCCTCCAACGACCACTGCCCTCGTCGGGTGTTCCAAGTCCAGTGGATGAGGACGATGATGATGAAGAGGATGATTTCCTGGCCCGAGAATTAGGAGAAGATTGGGGATAGTACGTTTTTTGATAATAATCTATTTGCTATCCATCATTATCTTGTTTGCTTTCTCTCTTTCTACTTATTCTTGTAGCATCTACGGTTGTAATTGCCACACTACTCGAATGCACGCAGGGGAAATCATCAACTATACCAGATCTTTCTGCTCATATTGCTCCTTCAGTTCCTGACAGTACGTATTCCACAAGACGTCAACCGGATCCCCGGCGACGGCTAAGAAAATCTTGGTGTCATACTTCCTGTCTTTCAAAAATGCGTTGAGCCTGCGGACGGCACCTCTTCCACATCGTCGCTCGATCCAGTTCAGAAAGTACGCCGTGGTATCGTATCCCTTATCCCACTTATCGCCACCTGTAGGTTTCCAGTGAGGTGGAACGTACCCGGCATTCAGCCTCACAAAATCTAATATCCGTCAACGCACTCGATCGCTGTCAACGACGCCTGCTGCCAGACCTGCGATGCCCTCTATCAGACCCCCCGGACATGTATCGAGGGCGTTGTACTGGTAGCAGTGTACAACCTCGTGGACCAGGACACCTTCAATCTCGTCTTTGGCTCGAGGAGTGGAGCGTGCTATGTAGTCGAGGGAAAGGTGGATCTCCTTATCCACGTGGGTACCGAACGTGTACGCTATCCCATCGAATGATCGGAGGACAAGCGTAATGGTCTTCACGCTTGAGGATACGAATGATGAAAAGTTTCTTAGATGAAATAGGTAGGGGGGACATCGTGGTCGTGGACGTACTGCCTGGGAGCTGTCAGGGGAGTGTATAGCCAGGCGTACGAAGCCTCGACGGCAAGCTTGAGCGCCTCCTTGGGTTTGACATTGTCCAAGAAGATGCTGGCACCTTCGTGGTCAAGGTCCTCGACCCTCAGCACAAAATTGGGAATGTGCCAGTGGGGCAGCGAATTCGACTGTTCTGCAGGCGGCGGCATGGCAATCGGGATACCAGTGGGGCGCGCGCGTGGTCACCAGTCAAGGAGTGACCAACCGGTACTTTGAAACCGAAGAGCGACATTGAAACCAAATATAACCCCTCCTTTCAAAAGGTACAGTTTCATCGTCGATGGCTATTAGACGATTGACTACATATATACGTATATTAGTTCAGGTGCAAGTTATACTGATACAATAAAGTAATGCCCTACAAATGGTTTAGTGGGGCTGCCGTCACCGATTTCAGATGAAACTGACCGTCAAGGTGCTCGAGCCCATCAGTGCGGTCCAACCATCCTAGCTGCAGCCTCCAAGCGCAAAACTTCTTCTCTGAGTGCATCTCGCCCTTCTTCCAACCAACGGCAGTATTCCACAGCGCGAAACAGGACCCCGCTTTTTCCCTTAGTGTAACCCTTGCTGTTAGTCCCGCTACCCTTAGGCCTCCCTCTGGATGGCAGGTCGATGGTCTGTGCACCAGCAGGGGCAATGAGCGCTATCAGTTGGGCATATCCGTCGCGGATTGCATTCCGACGTCTTTGTTCAGACATGATATGATTGAGCCGCTTCTGGGGCGTAGACAAGAGAGATTTGACTCTCGCGGGTTGCCGCGACTCAGAAGTATCTTTTCGTCTGGCAGATCTTGTACGCGACTGTGATTGACAGCGTAACAAGTTCTGCCCAAGAGAAAGCCCATCTTCCTCGTACTCTAGGCCGTCGCCGTCTGCTGTGTTGGATGATATTATCATCGGGAGAATAGGCAGTACGGAAGGACAGTCTGCCGACATAGACGCCTGGGAGGGTGGGGCAAGGGATGTCGTAGGAGACGATTGGGGTGGATTAGAAGCGTCCGGAAGAGAAAGATCGGCTTCAAAATCCCAGTTAAAATTATCGAGGAACCCCAGGAGATCGTGGTCTCTGACGGGGAAAACAGGTCTGCGGATGATGGTAGTGGTGCTGGGAGAGGTGGAAACAGTTCAGAGAGCGCTGGATCAAATGCATACTCAAACTCTGAGAACGGCACAGGCGGTTGCGGCGACGATGGACTTGACATGATCACCGAGGTTTGACGACGACGATGATGTCCGTGGTGGTCGGCGGACAGCCACCGACGGGGACGTGGGAGTGCCGGGGGCACCTGCCGTCTGCCTGCCGTTCTTGGAGATGCAGGCGGGTCGTTCCGGGAACGCAAACAAGGATAAATCAGAAATGCCGTGCCTCCTCCGAAGCAATTCCCATATATACGCCAGCTGGACCGAAACGACGTCGGAACCCCCCCGATCCGCAGTACACCCATGTCGGCTCTCAGCGAGGCATCTACACCGGCGCAGGACGCGGCGGCGGCGTCGGCCATTGACACGCAACAACTTCATCAGCTAGCTCACCCCTCGGAAGTACATCAACAACAACCGCAAAGCGTGAACGGGGCAGGGGACATCGCCACGCGCAAAGGTCAGCAGCTGCTGTCACCGTGTCTTCAAAACAAACTAATGAGACGGAACCTTTAGCCAAGGCACCGTCAGTGAGGCGCGCCTGCATCGCTTGTCATGCGGGAAAGACGAGGTGCAGCGAGGTGCTTCCTTGCCAGGTGGGTCGCTCGCAAGGCCTTGCACTGGACCTTCGACCTTATGTCCGCTCGTGTGCCAGAGTTGTCTCAAGAGAGGCATCGGTGCGACATGTGCCTACCCCGATCCTGAGCCCGACCATAATCAGTCGCAGCCTAGTATGTTTTCTGCCAAAGCACTTTTATCACACTTGTGACCCGTGTGTACAGCACCAGGCGTGTCGACATTTGCGCAATCAACCATCGGGTACGTGCACTGGAGCGCCGACCCTCAGTCAGCACCAGTACTACGACTACAATGGCACGTTTACCGGTGCTTCTTCCTCCACGTTCCGTCCGAGTAAGCGGCCACGGAACCTGACTGAAGAGGAAGCCGCTGCTATCACACGGAATTTTACCCGTGGTGACTTTTTCGTGGGCACAAGTGCTCCAGTCCGTATAGACCCAAGGACTGCCAGTCCGACTTACATTGGGGGAGGGCGATCATGTACATTTTAGCATCACTGAAACGTTGTCATAGTATATCCGCCGTGCACCATCTACCTATTTTACACTTGTCCTTGTAGTCCACATGATTACACGTGTATTCTCTTTTACTACTTTTGTTACGAGGTGTGTTATCTATTAAACTTACAAGCTACGCCTTCCCATGAAGTGAATCGATGCAGCAAAAAGCTGTGACGAGAGTGGGATTCGAACCCACGCCCTTTCGGACCAGATATGTACTGTTCGGTCATCGGATGACCTGGTCCTTAGTCTGGCGCCTTGGACCGCTCGGCCATCTCGCCAATTCTCTATCATCGTTTTTCGCGGATGTCGCAAGGCCGACCCTCTGATGGAAGGCGGTGTGCTAACAACCCATGAGTCGGAAAGGTATAATATGGAGATGAGTTCACTGGTCCGCGGAGGTAATAGCCAGGTCGGCCCGAGTTTCGCCTCACCATCAAAGCCAAGTCGCACATGAGTCAAGATCGGTACCACCAAGTAAGTCCTTTCATGCACTTCACAGCACGCACTCAAAGAATTCAAAAAACTGTGGGAGGCAGACACTAACTCAGCCATCTTACAGATTAGACTCTTCAAAGCTTCAGGGGCAGTGAATCCATCCGAAGATGCAAAAAGCATAAATGCTAATGGCCTTGGTTAACAGATCAGCAATGTCTCCCTATCAAGTTGGACCGCCTGGATCTTGCTCGCCGATCCGTCCAGGCAACACCGGGACGCTTGATGCAGCAAACCTCATCGTCTAACGAGAATGCGGTAAAAAGTAGGTTTGTCACTGGGGGAGGACATGTGCCTCCGTGATGACGATAGGCGTTCTACCGGTCTCCGACCTGTGCTTATATGTCGAAGAGTGCAACACGGGAGAGTGGAGTGCGCGACCCCTTTGACCAGGCTCAACAGGGACGAGATGCACTTCCATGCTTCGGACGAGAATAGACGTACCTCGTGCTCTGCCTTCATTATATCGCTGTTCAAGCTACCACTGCTGACGGTTTCGCGTCAAGTAGGTCCAAGGGTCGCTGTCCTTCCGGCATGGCGAGCTTGCAAGCAACGTAGCGGAAACACTTTGTGTCGTAGAGAGGCTGCTCTGTATACTCACCCTCGCAGGGGAGATCTGCAGACCGAGTAGCAAGCCTGCAAGCGAGTGCACACGCGCCTTGCACTCGATCCACCATGCTTGTCGTCGCCCTCCACCGTTTTACTTCTCCTCGCTAACACGTACCTTACAGTAGCTATACCACTCGTGTTAAATTACACTCGCTTTCTAAAATTGCATCTGCTTGATGGGAAGACGACCTGTCTAAGAGGCAAGTTGGCGGCCCGCAGGACACGCGAAGAGCGACCAGCGACAGACGAGGCTGGAATAAAGTACACCAATAGAAGGCAACACCTTAAAAGGCGTCAGAAAGGGCATCCAGAGTGTTGATGGGTCGCTTGGTCACCTCGAAACCATCACCATAGGAATGAATAATAATAAAAAACTGTGACGAGAGTGGGATTCGAACCCACGCCCTTTCGGACCAGATATGCTGTGGTCATCAAGATGACCTAGTCCTTAGTCTGGCGCCTTAGACCGCTCGGCCATCTCGCCGTTGTGGTCTCGTGACTAAAGCTGTTCCTCAGAGGGAAGGTCGTGCCGAAATAGGGGGGGTTCCTGGTGACATCCGCTCGGATGTTTCAGCTGCGCTAACTGCTTAACCTCTCGTTGCGATGCTAAAATCACTAGCCGAGCGCTGGACTTTCACGCTCTCATCCTCTCTTTTCACTTTGCTCTCCTCATGTACTTCTTCTCGTGCCCATCGGCGTTGGTCACCGTGATTGCTTGCTATGTCCCATTCCTGGTACTGTCGAGTGAACTCGTTGCAGCCTCTCCGAGCAAGCCAGGATTTCGCCGGGCAACGACCTGCAACGGTAGTCCAGACTTGTGCGACCGGTCTTTTGGGAATGTCACTTTCGTGGGCACTCACGACTCCTATGCCGTGGGTGTCAATAACCGTCGGTGTTTATATGCGTTCTACAAAGGAGGCACGTACTGATGCTTGAGCTACAGTGGCCGCCAACCAAGATTATAACAGTGAGCTCGACTCCAAGTCGTTCTTAGACACAATCTTCACAAGGCTGGGGAAAACCAGTCTCTCAGCAGCTGAAAGATGGGGTTCGGATGCTCCAGGTACAGGTACACAATCAGAGTGGCACCATCGAACTCTGCCACACTTCCTGTGTTCGTAAAGATTCGATCTGACCATGGTTTCCAAGCCACATAGAGCTCATTGTTTGGCAGCTTTTGTACGATGGCGGTCCATTTTCGACGTACCTCGAAACAGGTGGGCCCTCAACACGTGGATGTTGCATGCCTAATGCGTCGCCGCAGTGAAATCTTGGTTAGATGCCAACCCCAACGAAGGTAAGTCCCGTTGCGAGGGCTAGACCGAAGCTCCAGATTCATCACGCCACTACGTCCAGTGCTTTCGATTCTTGTCGTTAATTCCGATGGTTTCCCTCCAACGGCTTATGACAGTCTCTACAAGTCTGTCGGCCTTGACACTGTATCATACGCACCCCAGTCAGCATCCATGCCTGCGAGTCAGTGGCCTACATTAGGCACACTCATTGATTCCGGGACACGACTGATTACCTTCATGGACGCAAATGCAAATTTCACTAGTGTTCCGTACATCATCAGTGGTACGTTGCGCATCTTTCAAAGCTCGAAGTTCTATCTGTCATCGATCAGAATTCACCAATATCTGGGAAACCCCTTACGATGTTTCCACGACATTTGATTGCAGCGTCAACCGTACTGACGGAGATCCATCCACCCAAATGTACTTGATAAACCATTTTCTTGATGAGATACTCCTCGGGCAGCCCATTCCTGATCCAGGGCAAGCCAACGAGACTAACGCCGTCTCAGGTCCCAATTCAGTTGGGGCTCAGGTTGAGCTCTGCGTCAGTGAATATGGAAGAAGCCCGAATTTTATGCTAGTAGACGTTAGTAAAACTTGCCTCTCCCACGAGTGTACGCTCAGCTTTCTGCGCTAGTTCTACGAGTATGGCGGGGGCTCCGTCTTCGAGGTCGCCGCTGCCGCCAATGGTATTACTTATAGCCCAACCACGCCGGTCGCCACCCCAATTCCTCAGGCTAGTTCTTCGGGGCCCGGTGGCTCGAATTCAAGCGCTAATACCGCATCATTATCTGGATTCGGACCGGGGACGATGGGACTTCTCATATCTGTTGTCATCTTGAGTAATGGCCATATGCTTTGGTGAGGTGTGGGTTGACACGTGCCTATCCGGTGGCGAATGGAGAGATGGGTGGTACCGGATGCACGTATATTAAACACTAGACAGTATCTATCTATTGGATAATGGTACTTCGTTAATGTATAACCATTCAAGTTCCGTGATCGGACTATACCTCATCGTTTTCTTTCTATACGCCACTTGTATATACGCGGTTTGTAGGTCTTGGGAGTAGACTGTCGAACCGATGTACGCTGATCGCAGTCCTCGTCGTCACCTTCGTTATTATCTCCTATTTCTTCTACTCCACGGATTTTTCTACGACCACCCTTGCCAACGAGTTGGCGCTGCATCTCTAACTCGCGCTGCGCATACAAGAGTTGAGTGTCTCTGCTTAACCGAGCGGCTAGTTCTTTCAAGAGACGCTTGCGGTGCTTCTAAACATCATCATCAGCGAGCATATACAATGATGCTAGGAAAGTGATAGTACAATATTATCCGCTTCTTCCCCGTGAAGGCCACCAACCGTATCTCTGGCATCCTCATGGCGTGCCCGTCGACGCCTGGCCATTGTTGAGGTAGTGTCCTTCCAGCCTAGATCAACTGACTCGTTCGGCGGAGTGGAGGCTTTGTTATCTGCTATTTGACCGTTCGGCTGATGGCAGTCCAGGTATCTTTGTGCTGAGTACGCCAAAACCTTTATTACTCGAGAGGTGGCGAAATAAGTCAGGCATACCATCTGTTTCATCTTCTGCGAAAACAACAAGCCGCGACACGGCACTGGCTTTTCGCTTGCCCTTGGACTTTGGCTGAGGGGGAAGCACTCCAGCTGCGCGCAACGTCTCCAGTTCAGATTCATCCAATGGCTCGTCGCCGGTATCCAGGTCTTCGTCCGAGACGGATACTAGGTTTGCCAGTGAAGTGAGTTGATTTTTCAGTTTCTCAATTTTCTGTTACCGAAGTCAGCGCGTGCGATCAGATACGAGGAGATAGTGAACCTTGAGCCCGGTAGCTCTCATAGTGCGGATATATCCCTCGTCTTGAGTTTTCAAGAGCTTGACCATATCCATAGGAAGGGGTTTGTTTCCCCTCTCTTGAACATGAACGCCCTCGACCGTTTTTCTCCTTGTTCATGGCAAAGTAAAACTCATCCTTGTTTCTGTCTGCTGCCTTCCTGCGGAGACGGTTGAGATGGTCCTGTTTTGCATGGTAGTCTCTGGCACGGAGCACGTAGTCCTTGTGCTTTTCAAGTAGCCCAAACCGAGCGCGATGGGCGAGTTGCCCGCGCTCCTTGTGAGAGCGGCGATGTAACGAATTCCGGAGAGAAGATGTCATTTGAACAGAAAGAGTGCGTGTCACGGACGCGTGACCCAGACGGGGATAGCGTGACAAGGACGTCACGATCGAATTGCGCCTTGAAGCGGGCCAATTTTGCTCTGGTTTTCTGACGAAAAAAGGATGAGTTTCCAGCATTTCAGGCTTGGCCAGCTGGCCATGTCCCAACCTTTACCTCCACATTTGCAGCAGAACACGGCTTTCTCACAAAATATCCAGTCTACATCCACCCAGACGACCTCCCCGTCCATCACCAAACAGTCTGCCGCCCGTCCGCCGTATGGTTCAGGCGACAGCGATGATGGCTACACCCTCATCTTCCCAAACCTGACCGCCTTCCAGGAGTGGAGGGCTCGTGAAGAGGAAACTCAGATGGTCGAGTTTGTAAAGGGAGATACGCATGGCAGCAAAGCTATCCCTCCCCGCTTCAAGGATCATACCAAACTCGTCTGTGCTCGCCACTCCCGGAGCGGCCGCAAAAAGTACGTCAAGAAGCATCCGGAGCGCGTCAGAAAGGTCCCCAGCAGAAAAGTGAGCCCATAGCCTTCCCCCACGCACTTGTTGCTGACGTGTTGTTCTCGTGGAAGCTGGAAGGCCAAGGGTGCCAGGCATCCATCAGCTACAAGACATATTACGACACCGAAGAGGTCAGAGTGTGCTGTCAGTGCTTTCCGATGATACACAGCGTATGCCTCGTAGTGCTTAA